AAATGGAATCTGCCTGAAGTAGGAGACTGAGATGATGACAAGGAGGTTCAGAGCTATGGTGATTACAGAGATGGAGCACAGCAGGGTATTCAGGGGCACAGCTTCAGACCAGTGAAATGCTGGTCTCCTGCAGGAAGAGTTGAAGACTTCTGGAAACCATATACTGTCCTTGTTCTCCATCATCTAGATGAGGACAAGAGTATCAGCAGACACAGTCTGTTTAAGCTTTCAAATCTGATGAAATGATCTGTTTCTGGACCTTCATTTCTCCCCTCCCCCTTTCTTATGTGTTCTCAATGGACACTGATGTAACACAGCAGCGTGACTTTAATTATTTTCTGTCCAGTGAACTCTGTTCTCCATCTTACACGGGCTCTTGTTCTCCAGCATTAGTGCCCATGGAATTGGCAGTTTGCACATATGGAAACACACCATTAGTGCTGACAGGTATGTTAAGGTTTCAGAGCAACATATGCTCTCTTCCAAATGGCATGTTTTTCAGGACAGGATTTGTATATTTCATTGAGACATTACTAAACCATATACTGCATCCATTACAGCAGCATAGCTTGGTAGTTGAACTGTCCAAGTGCTGAAGTGACTTGACTACAGTACAGACCGTTCACAAATTTAAATTATTTGGAGCATGATGAAAAATACAATAGTCATGTTCTGGGACTTTGATGGACAGCTATCAGACAAGGATAGAATAAATCCTTCTCCCATGATCCAGCAACTGGTTCCCAGATGTTTTTAAGAAAGGGGGATGCAAAACTGTGAGATTTGTAATTCATTCATTACAATTTTATGTACCTTCATACAGTGTACTCAAACATAAACTGGGGCTCAAGGGCTGAAAAAAAAGTTCAAGTGGAAAGCTTATAGGTAGCGCAGGATTCAGGAACAGTTCAGCAGTTCAGCCTATTAAGAAGAGGAGAGGTCTCTGGAGGTTGATCTGGGGGCAAGGCAAAGCAGAGGGGCAGGATACTATGTAGTCTAGATTAGTGGTGCAACGGATCAAAAGTCTCTCGGATCGGATCACGTTTTTTTTCATCAGGGATCGGATCAATTTTCGGATACGCAGAAAAAAAATCCAAATATTTAACTCGTCATTTACTTATTTAACTATTTTTTGCCTATTAAAAATATTCAACTCAAGACTCCGTAAGTTTCGGGCTATAAGCCGCTACTTTTTGCACAAGCTTTGAACCCTGCGGCTTTTAGTCAGGTGCGGCTTTTCTAAGGATCGTCCATGATTTTTGTGATATCGTAAGAGGATTTGTTTTGGTTGTTCCGCTGTTGTACGGCACTACGTTGCCTGGTGGAAGGGCATGTGATCAGACACACAAGAGTACAATGCTGGTCACATGTCCATCCGGAGCGCGAAAAACAAACTTGATTAGCAAGAGCAAGAGGAGTATTACAAGAGCAAAGGAAGCTTTCATTCACAAGGACTGTTAACAAGCAAGGTGAATCAACCATCACGGTGAGAACCACTGGCCATGAGAGAACGAATTTCACTTGTGTGCTGGGCTGCACAGCATCAGGGTTTAAACTTACGCCAATGGTGATTTTTAAGCCGATTACTATGCCAAGAGAAGAGATCCCGAGCGGCATCTCTGTTAAAGTCAACAAGAAAGGGTGGATGGTGGAAAGCGTAATGAAGGAATGGCTGCAAGAGTGCTATGGGAAGCGACCTGGAGGATTCTTTCGCCAAAAAAAAGCGTTGCTTGTTGTGGACAGCATGAGGGCCCATATCACAGATTCTGTAAAAGCAGCCATTAAAAGCACAAACTTGATTCCAGCTGTGATTCCTGTTGGCACAACAAAGCACCTCCAGCCACTCGACATCAGTGTGAATCGTTCAAAGTAGCACTACGCATTCAGTGGGAGGCGTGGATGACGAGCGGCAATAAATCATTCACCAAAACTGGTCGCATGCGAAGAGCAAGTTTTGCCCAAGTCGAGATGTGTGGCAGACTTGTGTTTCAGGAGCTGCTACCGACAAACCAGCAAAAAAAACACCAAATGTGTCATCTGTGACACTTGTGAGGTTTCTCAAACACACTCCGTCAGTCTTGGTGCTGTTGAACAACAAAATGTTTAAAAATTTCGCGAGTTTACCTGGTGATAGTCTCATTCAAGATGTGATCGCGAAAACAGCAAACAATTAACACCATGCCGATGTTGTTCACAGGACAGCAAGAGTAAACGATCGGGAGAATCTAGTTGTCGTTATCGTGGAGTGGGATCGTTTCGGATTACGGATCAACCGTGATCCGTTGCACCACTAGTCTAGATACCTCTCTGCAATTAATTATTAGTTATTATTCATTTCTGGCTCGTTTCCACACCATGTCTATGTTTTGTCTTCCTCCCCATTACCCCCAACTAGTTGCAGCAGAGGGCCGCCCCTACTTGAGCCTGGTTCTGCCGGAGATTTCTTAAAACAGAGTTTTTCCTTCCCACTTCCGCCAAAGGGCTCGTTCAGAGGGAGTCATATGAACGTTGGGGTTTTCACAGGTTCTTTGTATTATTGTACGGTCTTTACATTACAATATATTTGAGCAAATGTTGTTGTACCTAAATGTCTTATTTTTTATTATTGTTTTTATTACAGCAGCAAAATAGAGATAAAAATTGACAAAATTCCCCACACACTATTACATCCATGCAACCATGTGGCCATTCCTCATACTCTAATTACCTCATTAAAGACCATTAAAAGAGAAATATTCTTAACCTGCAAACCACCTAATTAGCAGCAATTGGATTAGAGAGTAAAGCAACTGAAAGTAGACATCCATGTAAGGTGGTAGAAAGCTGTAGATGTGCTGATTCATTCAGGGGTTAGGTTTCTTATTTAATTTAATAACTGTACAGTACTCTGTTTATAGTAACCATTGTCCTTAATGTAAAAATGTAAATATGTAAGAAAAATTGTGTATGTTTCTGTTCTGTGTCCTGTGTACTGTTTGTTGTATATGTGTCTTTCTGGCTGCTGTTACAATCAAATTTCCCCTTGTGGGACAATTAAAGGATTATTCTATTCTATTCTAGACTGCACCTAAGACAAAATTCATGCAGCTTAAAGGGAAACCACAATTTCATCATGCGTTTGCAAATACTGACGCTGAATAGAGATGGCAAATTTTGTACTAAGCAACAGAGCCAGAACATTGTCATGAAAGAAAAATGAGTTAGACTAAGTGTCCCAAATTTATGACTTGGGTTTGGTTTTAGAGTTTGAATCACAGACGGTAAGAGTGTGCCTAGGATCATAAAATACTGCTCATCCATGACTGTGTGGCTCCACACAGCTCCAACACCATCATTTGCAAACAACACCACCAGCATCACCTGTATTTTAGATCAGCAGTCTCCAACCCCCGGGCCACAGACTGGTGCTGGTCTGTAAGCCATTTGGTACCGGGCCACGAGAGTTGAGGCTCGGGTGTGAAATTGTTTTCAGGGTTTTTATCGTTAACTCAGTTTCCCTGGGTCTTTTCCCGTGTTGTAGTTGTGTGTCTTATTTTGAAAGAAATATTTACGTGTTACCATAGCGACCAGAGAGCATTATGGGGCAGAGAGGAGGATGTTACTCTCAATGTTGTTGGCACATTTCAGGGGGACGCTGCTAAGTTACACAATTACACACTAAATTCGCGTTTATTATTATATTTACAAAATACCACACTTTTTGTCTTGGTATTATCATTTTATTTTGTTGTATTTATCCGTGACACCTTAAAGGCTGGTCCGTGGCACAAAAATGTTGGGGACTGCTGTTTTAGATGCTTACAGAGCACAGGTGAAAGCCCTGACATCATGGTGTCCAGAACAACCTGCTGCTCAACGTCAGCAAGACAAAGGAGCTCATTGTGGACTATAAGAGACTGCAGGGCAGCAGGAACACTCCTTTTGACATTGAGGAAACAGAGGTGGAGAGAGTCACATGCTGCAGGTTCCTGGGAATTAACATTATTGAGGATCTGAGCTGGTCACATCATATTGATGTGATCACAAAAGCAGTGAGACAGCAGCTCTTCTTTCTGCGGTGGCTGAGGAGGTTTGGCATGGACTAGAGAATACTCACCAACTTCTGTCAATACACCATTGAGCATTTTCTATCTGGCAGCAGAGTTGGGGAGTAACAGAATACATGTACCAACATTGCGTATTTAAAATATAAAATATGAGTAACTGTATTCTGCTACAGTTATCATTTAAAAAGGTGATAATTAGAATACAGTTACTTTGTTGAAATAAATGGATTACACGGCGGTCTATTCCTGTTTTATGTGTTAGGTCATCTTGAAATGACCACAACTATTTTCAGTTGCAGATGATAAAGGATTCAGAAAGTTTAGTCATGCAGGCCTATATGACAGAGAATATGCATGTTCTTTTTGTTTTCATATTTTAATTTATATTTTATTGTGTTGTGGTTTGCGGTGTTTTGTGTTGTTTCACTTTAAATTTATTTCAAAGGAAAAAGCTGAAAATTTAAATAGTTAAAAGTTGAAATGTAAATAGTTGTTTTTTGTATTATGTATTTTGTATTATGGGATTTATTTATTACATTTTAAGTGGAGTGAATAAATAATTACCTAATATTAATAATAATATTTACGGTGGCCGCTAGAGACAAAACACGTAAAAACTCCAAAACACGTACAAA